CTGAGGATGTACACTCAAAATGGAACAAGATGTGTATAAGAGGCCAGTGATTCAAGACTAGTAGAAGAAATGCTTCTTAACTGCACCGACCTATCACTAGTAGATGCTTCCTATCGGAAGCGAAAGAAGTTATTGTCGCTGATGCCTTGTTTAGTTATATGCCATATTAGACCCTGAAGAGTTGCAATCAAAGACGAGGATAGCATTCCGCATAATCAGTTAAAGAATTGATCACAGCACCGGAAAATTAATAATTGCCGCACATAAATAGGTTATGGCATGTAGGCAAGCGAGCATATGATTACCGCTCTAGATGCAGGGATTCTCGGCGCTTGAAAATTTCCAGTATTAAGTTTATAGGACTTTTGGTTCAAACACCAGGCAAATTTTACAGTGCCTCTTAGTTTTAAATTCCCGCATTTTATGTTGTACTACATCAGACAGCATTATTTCTTCGATCTTGACTGGGTATTTCGTTCATGCGTTGTTGATTATACTGAAAAGATAGAAACTGTTTTTTCGTACATAACGCACGGAAATTGCCCACTCAATTACAGTTCGGGTGGGCACATTTGATTTCCGCAGTTCGTTATGTAGTCTGCATCTGCTGTAACATTGGGAGCCAAAAGAACATTGGGAGCCTTTGGCAATGTTTCATTTTCTGGCAACAGGCATGTCAACGCTTTTCCAACCCGTGCAAAGTTGTATGCTTTGCCCTAGTTGATTTTGACTATTCGTTTGACTGGTAAATGAATCCGTCTGTCTGTTCAGCGATTGATTTCCGTGCAACCTGACCACTGGGGAACGTGCTGCATCTTTCACCTGAAGCCTTTTTGCATTGCTGTTTGTTAAGGGCGAGACGTTTCTTTCAGTCGCTAGTGTAATAGCGCATGTAACTCGCATTCCTACGCCATATTCAGTCTTCTCCAGCTTGATAGGTGGGTGTTTGTTCTGATGGTGTTCGCAGTTTCTCCTATGTAATATTTCCCGCAGGTACATCGTAATGTCAACCGAACCTAGAGATTTGTTATTCTTACAATTAGTTAATAACAGGCTTACGTTATCAGAGCTTTTATATATAACGTTCATATATTTAGTATTAAATCACTTTTGTAACTTACACTGAAATTTTCGTGATTAGGTAGAATTAATAAACCTTTTTATTTAATGTTATTTCGGATATTATTGATGATAATAGTAGACTTAATGACTTATTCTACGGATTATTATATTATCGGTCAATTTAACAAATTTTTGTTCCATACGTTTGCTTTAACGTTTTGTATGTTAAGAAATTTATTATTGCGTAGCTTTTGAGCTGCCCAATAAAGCTATGACACCAGATTTTTTATTGCACCTGAGTTTTGTGTACTTTATCAACCTTAGTAGTTTCGGGATAAACGGTAGTTGTACTGTGTTTGTCACAATTCATTATTATATAAAGCAAAGTACACTAGAACTATTTCCTCTTTCAATGGATAAGTCGATATTTTTTTGACGACTGCGCCTGAGAGCAAAAAGGGATCAGTATCTGTTAAGAATCTTTGCAAACAATTCAAGGTTTGTGTTCGGGTCATCCTTTCAAAATTTTACATGAAAATTTCAGCAAGAATAGGGAAAACTGTTTCCATATCGTTACCGGTTGGTTTATTTGAAGAACCTACCGTCGAAAGAAATATTTCACTTCTATCATGATAAAGGTATTGTCATAAACTTTTTGACAGAATTAACTAAGATTTCCACGTTCTTTATGTGAGTTATCACTTAGACGTTGTTTGATTATGATAATAGTAACATCAACAGGAACTTTAATGAATAAAATTTACGTCGTAATTGACTACAGTGCTTCCTTCAGAGGGTTTAATTTATTTCATTTTCGTGCGAAACTCATTGAAGCTTTCGATTTAAAATGGTGTACATGTATCTGCACAATAATTCAATTTTTTTGAATATTTTAATTCCTTCAAGCTCCACAGTAGTTCTTTGAGTTAATACGTTCGTCATAAACCATTACACAGCGTAGGAGCAGTGGCGCGATGAATAATAGTTTGTCTGCATTTCGTGGACTTTGCATGGTATGGTGTAAAAGTTCCAGTGTGACATAAAATTACCCTGTAATGGCTACATTTCTTGAGTTTGCAATTTATGGCGCTACGTTGCGGAGCAACAGGCCGAGAGACGAATAACAAATTGCATACCTTTAAACAACAGGGAGAGCATAATGCTCGATGTGGTTATGTCAGCATGTACAGTATAAGGCTGTGCTATCTGACGAGTCCGTCTTACGACTGCAGCTCGTCTTGACCCACCTTAGAACTAAGCAAACTCAGTAAACATAAAAATTTTAACTTCAACATTTTAGTATTAATACA